GCTCCTCAAATTGTTCACCCTACAGCAGGTACTAAGACTCAAACATACTCTTTTTTTCTCAAAGACTAGAGGGGAAATATAATTGGCCAAGCCTGGGGGGCCCTAGAACAGAGTAGGTAATCTACAACAAATGCCAGTTAAGTAAGTAGAGTTAGCATCACCATGGCAACCCATCCAACCTCGGGCTTCCAAGGAAAAAACCATGATCTATTCCATTTCTCTTATAGTCCAAAGACCTTAAATTCAAACTTCTGTGGACAAAGACATAGGGCCTGTCTCAGTTAAGTGATATAATCAGTCCTCATTAGCCTTCTCCCCACTCTCTTGAAAAGCATAAAGAAAATTACCTTTGGCACAAAGAGGCTTTTTTAAGCCAAGTTCTTCACAGCATGCCTCAAATTGAGTATCTAGTTAAAGCATGTAATTGTAAAAAAAGAAAGAAGTGTGCTAGGTAAGTTGACACAGGATCTCTAAATGTAGCTGAAAGGACTACCACTGTCTTCAAAGGTAAGATATCGTTTCTTAGATCAGGCTTCCAGGTAGAGAACTGTGTAGTGTGGGAGACAGGAAAGTGAATCACTAAGAAATTATCTCCTCAGGTTTCTATCACTGAAATTCCCCTCAGACCATCATCTAGCCTCTCTTCTCTCCTGAATGTCTTTGTGATTTCGGTCTCTCAGCCCCTTCTTCTGTCTTAGCCCCTCACTCACTTGCCTCCGTGTGCCACCTGGAGTTTGGCAGGTTGTTTTTGAAGCATAATGGCCATCCAATGTTACATTACTTTCAAAGTTAGCCTTTCCACATCATGCTTGTACCTATGATTACGTACATTTTATAATAAACTTTTAAAATTATAGATCCTTCCTCTACTCACATTACTTATATACATGGACAAATTGTTTTTACACATTAAAAAAAAAAAATCTGTCCTTCCAACTCATCATTCCATAACACCACTTCCTTCTTTCAAGTTCTCAGTTAACTTTGCCTTCCCTGCCTGTTCCTCACTATTTCCTGGGCTCTTCATGGCAAATTGGTTTTTGTCTTGTTACACTCCTGAAAAAACTACCTAAATTCCAAATCCAAATCCTTTACACAATTCATCTTACCTGTCTCACTGAAAAATTCTCTTGACTTGGCTTCTGGGACATTAAGTTCTCCAGTTTTCCAATCTCGTCTACACAGAGCAGTGAATTTCATCCTCCTAATGCAGATTTGACAGGTTTGCTTTAAAAATCTTGAAAGATCTTTCACAGCCTACAAAGTTAAACTCTGTGGCTGCGTGTTCCAGGTGTTCCCCTACCAGCTTTCCTGGCCTTTACACCACCGCTCACCTAAATACTCACTTTATTCTGGCCACGATGGCTTCCTTGCTCTTCCTCAAACATTACGGTGTTTCCTGCCTCGTTATTTCTCCTGTCCTATTTTCCTATTTTCCAAGTTTAGCCACTCTTCAAGGTCCAGCTCGAATGTTACCTCCTGCGTGAAACTAAGCTAGATGTGCCCTCTCACACTTTTCAAATACCTGTGGATGAAGGCTTACCAACACTTCTGCTCTATGGCCAAGTTTGACCTTAGGCTAACTTTCTAGCTCTGTTCCTAAGAAAAAAATATGGTGGAATATATTACTAGACAAGATCGTTGATGGTAAAATGACCTGTGATCATTTATGCTGAGAGTGGGTGAAAACTACAAATTCCTGGTGGGAAGGTAGATCTTTGTGCTTCCCTGAATTCAATGACTTGTAACTGGGGCAGGTCTCTTGGTGACCTAGAAGCTAAGTCTATGGTGTTATGACAAGAGACAGTGGCTCCTGTTGTACACGAGGCTTCTAGGCTGGCATAGCTCTGGCACCTGAACTATCATTTGTGTGTGTGTGCGTTGAACACTTCTTGGATTACTGTGTGAACTGCCATGGGGACTGCGCCAATGGAAGAGAAACACTCCATAATGCTGGGCTGGCAAGCTGTTTTATGTCTTGCATGCTTTTGATTAAACGGGTGACAAATGAAATCTATTCAGGTCTTAGGAATCTAAAAAGCTTCCTTTGACAGGCAGGGATCCATTATTTAGCTCACAGCTATTCGTTTTGGGGGGCCCTATTCACCTCAAGATCTGAGGTTAAGACCATGTCTTTTTCAGCTAGTGATAATCTCTGTGGTTATGCTGTGTGATCTGGGTGAGGGACTTGAACAATCTGAACCTATTTTCTCACCATTAATAGAAGAACAATTATTTCCAACTTCAAAGGGCTGCTGTGCGGATTAAAGATGTATGTACAATGTTTCCTAAGTAGGAAATGTTATGTCTAAGGGGTAATGTTAGGAGCTTTACACCAACACACAAATTAATCATCTTTCTTCTAAATGTACCTGTACAAACGTAATGAAATTTAACAGTTCATTTATTTTTGCCGATTCTCATTCTGATCTTTGAAAAATTAGTAAAAACAAGTTTGATAAAGGAAGGGCCAAACTGTTATGAGGCTGATGTCATACTAAGAACTGCCCCACGCTCCTTCTAACCCTGTCTGGTCTGCTGCTGGAAGGAAAACAGGCCCCAGCAGTCCCAAAGCAAATGACAGGAGTAAGATGCATAACTTGTCCAAGCAACGCCCAAGGCATTTAGTAAGGTGCTGCAAATATTTTAACCCAAGAACTGCCAGTGAAGTGAGAGAGTTAAAATCCCCCTTTTACACTCCTTTAACCTTTTAGATCACATGCTGAGAGAAGGAACATTGTCAAGAAGTATCTTAGAAATGCTCAGGTATATAAAATAAGATGGAGAAGAGAATCAAGGATTTTGTAATTTGTCTGTAGGTTTCACTTGTAGGTGGTAATGTGAAATATTATTGTATGAACAGTAATCAGACCTGTATTCCTTGTGGTTAGGAAAAGGCCAATCAATATACCAACTCTTAACAAGAGGGGAACGGTAGCTATAGCTTGGCCAAACCACTGAAGGTTTTATCAGACTTTACCTCCACGGTGAAAGTCTCCTTCTGTTCCTTTTCTGTGTGATTCTGGACGTAAATGTCTAGTTCCACATTTACTCCAGTCCTATTCTTCCTTAAGCCTTATAAAATATGATCCGAAATACTGCTTCCCTCCCTTTTGCTCTCATCACCCAAAATCTAGGACTCAGAGGTTTTCCACTTCCCTTAGAAAATAGTACTTTCCTCTGTAAGCCCAATAATAGAAACTGTATTATATCTGAGTATCAAGGGGTCCCATTCCCTCCAGATGTGCTCTAGAGTTTTTTTCCAAAAACTGAAGCCAAGATCACATCTGTTACAGAAATAAAACTATATTGGCAGGATAGACCAAATGAAAAGCAAGACAATCTGACTTACTGTTGGATCTCTTTTTTTTTTTTTTTAAGATTTTATTTATTTATTTGACAGACAGAGATCACAAGTAGATGGAGAGGCAGGCAGAGAGAGAGAGAGAGAGAGGGAAGCAGGCTCCCTGCTGAGCAGAGAGCCCGATGCGGGACTCGATCCCAGGACCCTGAGATCATGACCTGAGCCGAAGGCAGCGGCTCAACCCACTGAGCCACCCAGGCGCCCAGATCTCTTCCTTTTTCACTGAGAACATTTAAGCTTTAAAATTTGGCTGATTCACAGTGAAATATTAACCACAGCTATATGTAACTTACTAAGTTATGCCCCTTAATTCAATTTTATTTTTTAGAAGACTTTGAGAGAGAGAGAGAGCACAAGCAGGGAGGAGCAGAGGGAGAAGCAGACTCCCTGCTGAACAGAGAGCCCGATGTGGGGCTTGATCCCCAGACTTCAGGGATCAGTGATGAGGCAAAGGTAGACACTTAACCGACTGAACCACCCAGGCATGCCAAGCACCCTAATTTTTTAAAAAAGATTTTATTTATTTGACAGAGACCAGCAAGAGAGGGAGCACAGGCAGGCAAAGTGGGAGAGGGAGTAGCAGGGAGGCTCCTGCTCAGCAGGGACCCCGGGATCATGACCTGAGTTGGGGGCAGATACCTAATGACTGAGCCACCCCACTGCCCCCAAGCACCCTAATTTTAATGATCCTTTGGTACAGTGATGACATTTTTTTTAAATAAGATTTTATTTATTTATTTGATAGAGAGCACAAGTAGGCAGAGCAGCAGGCAGAGGAAGAGGGAGAAGCAGTCTCCCTGCCAAGCAGGAGCCCAACAGGAGGTTCGATCCCAGGACCCTGGGATCACGACCTGAATCAAAGTCAGCCGCTTAACTTTTGTGCCGCCCAGGTGCCCCAGTGATGACATTTCTTAATAGAAAAACTAATCTACAGATAAAGTGAGCACACAAAACTACGAACTCAGAATTTCATTCTGCATAAAATAAGAAAAATAGTTAAGGCTCTAACGTGGAAGTAGGGCTAGGGACATGGGGAAGGCCGATCACAAAGCCTCCAAAGAAAATGCCAATCTTAGGGAGTGTGTAAAGATACTGACTCTTGGTGAAGTGTGAGAACAGAAGACTTGGGGAATGTTTGCACATTTGGGATGACTGGTACAGTACAGTGTATGTTCGAGTCACAATGAGATCAACACTCTTTCCATTAAAAAAGCAAGATTATCTTGTCCTTTTCTTTGGTCTTTCCGTCATCCTCACACTTTCATACAGGAGTGGTAAATAGTGTTTAACTGCTGAAGACTATGAGAAGGGCACAAGAACCTCCCAGAAAGAGTACATTACCAAAACTAAGAACTAACCTGGCTGCTGCTGCAGACACGCTAGGTCACCAGAAAAACCCTGCATAACATTTGCATCAATAACAAGTACAAACCTTGGAGCTACAATCAAGACTTACTTATTAGCCTGGAAAAAGGAGGGGAAAGCTTGTTAGCGTCACATAAACCACAGTGAAATGTACTCAACACATACATATAAGGTTTCTCCAAATTCTTTGTGTGGCAGCCTAATGGTTTTGAAACTGATGCCTTCTAAGGAAATTCAGTGTTCAGAGACCAAGAAAAAAAACACTCAAGGGGAAAATATAACTAAAGAACATTTATTCATTTTTTTCACTAAGACTTTATCTTGAGGACATAACTAAACTGTCACCACCCCCCCACCCCAACCTGAAGAAGGGTTAGTACAGTGAATGTTATAAGCAGATATGAACAGTTTGAAGGATTGGAACCAACATTAACTGACAAACAACCTCCATCTAAATTATCATAAGAATGTTTAAGTAAAAAAAAAAAAAGGTGGGAGGGAAGGGGGCAAAGGGGGTTTCAGATTGAACAAGATTCTCACATTTCATCTAATACATTCAATCCTGGCTGGAGTATACCAAAATGGAAACAGGATTACTATAATACAAAACTTCCACTACAGCACGCTGTACACACCTGTGTTCCAAGCCCACCCCCATCCCCCTACTGCTTCCAACTCAACTATTTCCCGGCCTGTTGAGCCTGCCGACGAAGGAGCACATAGATCTTCTCTTTAATCCAGTCTTTGTTATAGGGCTGGTATGTCTGGGTATCAGCTCGGTAACTGAGAGACAGAAAGGTAGAAATAGTTATAATAGTCAATTACTATTGTGCTGTGTTTTTATTTATTTATTTTAAAAAGTTATTTATTTATTATTTATTTGATAGAGAGAGAACACAAGTAGGCAGAGCAGCAGGCAGAGAGAGGGGGGAAGCAGGCTCCCTGCTGAGCAGAGAGCCCGATGTGGGGCTCGATCCCAGGACCCTGAGATCATGACCTGAGCCAAAGGCAGAAGGCTTAACCCACTGAGCCATCCAAGCACCCTACTGTTGTGTTTTTAAAACCCTAAATTATAACTGCCCCATGATGGTACAGGTGGGCATGTTTATACATGAACTTAATGAAAACATAAAAAGAGCCACTCACATCACTGTTGAATTTTAAGTGATGTGAACTTTAGACCACCAAATACAATTTTACAGCAGAAAAAGAAACCAAGGTCTGGAAACCTTAAGTTAAATGCTCAATGTGTTACACATCTACTTCTTGACATAGTATGACCAGAAACTGTGTGTTCTTTCTCCTATCTATGGTTTCTTTATTTTTATGGTTTCTTTATTATTAAAATACAAAAACCAAACACTGGCACAAACTTGAGATTTGCTGAATTTCTTTAGAATTAACTAAAACATCTTAAAAAAACATGTTACTACTATGAAGACTTCTTCCCTATAAAGTGTTAAGGAAATCTTTTAAGAGATATCTCAGGATTTCCCCCTCTTTTAAAAAAAAAAAGAGTTTATTTATTTGAAAGAGAGTGCGCACACGAGTGCACAAGCAAGGGAAGAAGCAGAGAGGGAGAAGCAGACTCTCCGCTGAGCAGGGAGCCCAACTCAGGCTCAATGCCAGGAAGCCAGGATCATGACCTGAGCTGAACACAGAAGCGTAACTGACAGCCACCCAGGTGCCTCAGGATTTATTTTTTATTTATTTATTTTTAAAAGATTTTATTTATTTATTTGACAGAGAGAGAGCGATCACAAGTAGACAGAGAGGCAGGCAGAGCGAGAGGAGGAAGCAGGCTCCCCAACAAGCAGAGAGCCCGATGCGGGGCTCGATCCCAAGACCCCGAGATCATGACCTGAGCCGAAGGCAGAGGCTTAACCCACTGAGCCACCCAGGTGCCCCCAGGATTTGCTTTTTAAAGTAAATCATACTACAGGCTCGTACAGAATTACTGGAAGACGTAACAAGCTTCAAAATAGTTCTAATCAGAAGAGGAGGGTCAGGAGAGCCAGGACTGGCGGCATTAGCAATGAGACTCCAGTGGACTCCAGGCATCCTGAGGCCAACGTATCAATGAATAGCCAACCACTCAGGGTATCTGTACAAGACTTAGTACAAACTTTCCAGGTGACCTACCACTGAAATCTGATTGGTTAAGCATTAAAATCATTTTGGGGGTAAAAAACTAAGGCTAGAGTATAAAAAAGCAGACCATAAGTAACCGGAGATTGCACAAATACAAATCACTTCAGTGTCTCAAAGGCATGTGCACCATGTGGTAGAAACACTACATGTCATCCAAGAGACAAAGATGCACTTTGCCTTAAAAAAAATTAAAAAACCCACCAACCTTAGGGATACTTTAGAAAAACAAAATATCTAATTTATCAATTAGTACTTATCTGAATCAACTCACTTAATCCTTATTACAGCCCTATGAGTAGATACTATTTTTTAAAATTTATCTGAAAAGCAGACTCCCTGCTGAGCTAGGAGCCTGATGCAGGGCTCGATCTCAGGACCTTAGGGTCATGTCTTGAGCCAAACCAGATGCTTAACCAACTGAGCCACCTAGGTGCCCTCCTTTTTACAAAGGAGGAAACCAAAGAACAAGCAACTTACTAGTTCAGTGATTTGGGCAGGCAGTGGAAGCTTAAAACACTCCTGGACCAGAGTCCTCCCTCTTAACTACTGAGCTAGGAATCTATGCTCCAACTATTGGCATGACAGACAAACTCAAAAGAAGGAACATTTTATACCATTATCATATTCTTCCCCTGAATAGTAAGGTCAGAATCTGGTTTAATAAAAATTCATAAATCTTCTACTTTTACAAAATGCTTAACAAAATAAAATAAATTAAAGGCTTACTAGTCTCCTTTTGTTATAATGAGAAATATTCAAAAAAGTTAAATAATTTTCTCTGAATATTCTTTTTCTGTGCTTCCTAATTAAATAAGAGTTAACCTAGTCTACTTCAGATATGGTACAATAGACTACAACATTTATATCAACACTGGAGAAGAACTAAAACAAGAACAGAATTTTTTCAGAACTGTATCAGGGCGGGACAGACTTAAAATTTAGTTATTTGGGGTGGGGGAAGTGCACAGTGGGGCGGAGGAGCAGAGGAAGAGGGAGAAGCAGACACCACACTAAGCACGGAGCCCAATGCAGGGCTCAATCCTGAGTCCCTGAGATCATGACCTGAGACAAAAATCAAGAGTCAGATGCTTAACTGACTAAGCCAACTAGGTGCCCCAATAAAGCTTTCACACTGGGGCACCTGGGCGGTGGTTAAGCATCTGACTTCAGGTCAGGTCATGTTCTCAGGGTCCTGGGACTGAGTCCTGCGTAGGACTCTGTTCAGCGGGGCGTCTGCTTGACCCTCTTCCTTTGCCCCTCGCCCTCAGTTGTGCTGTCACTCATGTTCTCTCTTAAATAAATAAAATCTTTAAAAACAAAAAACAGTGCTCGCTTCGGCAGCACATATACTAAAAACTGGAACGATACAGAGAAGATTAGCATGGCCCCTGCACAAGGATGACACGCAAATTCATGAAGCGTTCCATATTTTTGCCCTGCATCGGGCTCTCTGCTCGGCAGGGAGCCTGCTTCCCTCTCTCTCTCTGCCTGCCTCTCTGCCTACTTGTGATCTCCCTCTGTCAAACAAATAAAATCTTAAAAAAAAAATAAATAAATAAAAAATAAAACCAAAAAACAATAAATAAAAACCCCTTTAATAATATATTTCATTAAAGACCAGACCTCAATCACTGGAATGTTTTGAGTTAGCTAAGTAAAACTCAAATATTCCAACAAAATACAAGTTTTCAACAGGAGTCACTGGTGAAACAGCAAGTCCTGGTCGGGCCCCAGCTATAATCCAGGAGTCACATGAAGTGCCTGTGAGTAAGACATATATATTTCAAAAACATATTTGCTCCTAGGAAGTATCTGGCATGTAATATTTAAGCACCTCATTATAAGGTATAAAGATCATCTCATTATAGGTATTCTCATTTTTCCTTTGTCATGAAAACAGAGTCATCTTAGTTTTAACCCAAAGTCAACTGCTTTAGGACAAAGACTTTGAGGGAGAAAAAAAATAAACAAAAAACAAAAAAACTAAAACCAAACCAAACCCAAAACAAAACAAAAAAACCCAAAAACCCCACCCAAAAAACAAATGACTTTGGTTTAAGAAACCAAGATCAGGACTTTGAACTTCTTAGCATTCTCTCTGTATACCAATTGCCATCAATTAGCAAAATTCTCAAGCTTCTCCTGCGCCGTTTATGTTGCCAAATTAACTTACCAGCCATATGTAGATGAAATATCACTACATAGTAGTCAAAATGCAAAGACCAGTGTCAGGCATAGAGTGACCACACAATACCATAAATCACCTCAAACGGCTGGATGAACAACAGAAAAATTCACCTTAAGAGATATGGTGGCTAATACTTACACAAGGCAGCTGAGGTCTGCCAGATCGTCAATAAAATCAAACAACTGACTGATATCATATGTGATAGAGGGGCTGTTGGGATTCATTCTCTTCAGATGTTCTTCATACATTTTACAAACACCTATGAGAGGAGAAAAAACAAGATCTTACAACTGCATAAACTTTAGATATGAACAGCATATATATAACAAATATATAGCAATGCCATAGTATTTTTTTAAGGATTTAACTTTCTAAAGTAATCTCTACACCCAATGTGGGGCTTGAGCCTACAACCCTGAGATCAAGAGTCGCGTGCTCCATTGACTGAACCAGTCAGGGACCTCCATAATACTTTATTTTTATAAAGTTAGGCTGGGAGCGGGACGCCTGGGTGGCTCCGCCGGTTAAGCCACTGTCTTCGGCTCAGGTCATGATCCCAGGGTCCTAGGATCAAGCTTCACATCGGGCTCCTTGCTTACTGCTTCTCTCTCCGCCTCTGCCTGCCTCTCCGCCTGCTTGTGCACACGCTTACTCTCTCTCTGACAAATAAGTAAGTAAATAAATAAATGAAATCTTAAAGAAAAAAAAAAGTTAGGCTTGGAAAAGAACAGTAAGTTGGTCACTTTCGTTTTAGTTTGGCACTAGCAAATTTCTTTTAATTTTATCTATTTGCCAGAATGTTCAGTATTTTATGCCTTAATAATAAAATGATTACTTCAAGCCACTAGTTCTAAAAGAACTTTAAAAGCTTGTCATATGAGAGTTCAAACAAGTGATGACAGTGTGGGTCTTACCAGGTTTTTCAATAAACAAATATTCCTAAAGACTCAGAATAAATAAAGAAAAACAGCACATTTGGGAATGAAGGATGACAAACAGGCTTTTCTATCCCGCTTTCAAATTTTGATACAATGCAAAAACAAATGAACAAAAAACTGGCACCCAGGAAGAGATTATGTTAAGAGTACTTTACTTAAGAGACGGGACTCTGGATTCAGAGACTTGAATTCTAGCTCTGTCCTTTACTAACGACTCCGTCCCCAGAACCCTACTTGTCAAATGGTGAGGATAACAATATTCTTGATGGAGCTATAGTGAAGGTTTTGCAAAACGGTGCATATAAAAGCATTATTAGCACGTGTAAGTGCATGTAAGTACACAAATATAAATCATAAAAACAATAAAATGAACGAAGTCACTGATAGCAAACACACATTAATTATCTAAAGAGGACATTAATTTTTTTTTAAAGATTTTATTTATTTATTTGACAGATATCACAATTAGGCAGAGAGGCAGGCAGAGAGAGGGGGAAGCAGGCTCCCTGCTGAGAAGAAAGCCCGATGTGGGGCTCGATCCCAGGACCCTGGGATCATGACCTGAGCTGAAGGCAGAGGCTTTAACCCACTGAGCCACCCAGGCGCCCCGACATTATTTAATTTTTATTCAGTGACATACTCTTGTTCCCACACAATGGAAAAATAACCTTTTCTGTCAATTCCCACTAACAAATGCTTTTAATACCACTATGATGAATGAACAAGCGAATAAATGTCATCTGGTAAAACATGTTTTATCCTTTACACTCAGGTCCTTCATGTACCTATAAACTTAGTAAATTTCCCAATAGAAAGTAATATTATAAAAAAAAAGTATGGGGTGCCTGGGTGGCTCAGTGTGTTGAGCCTCTGCCTTCAGCTCGGGTCATGATCCCAGGGTCCTGGGATTGAGCCCCACATCGGGCTCTCTGCTTAGCAGGGAGCCTGCTTCTCCCTCCCCCTCTGCCTACCTCTCTGCCTTCTTGTGCTCTCTCTGTGTCAAATAAATAAATAAGTAAAATCTTAAAAAATTAAAAAAATTAAAAAAAAGAAGTAATATTCAACTAAAGATCTATGAAAAGCTCTCGAGTTAGGGTTTTTGACTGGTACGGCACACCACACTGTGATCCGAGAGATCACTCATGAGTTACTGAACAGAAAGGTCGAAGTAGAAAGGAAATAAAAATCAGCAAAATGGGTGTCCGCCAGTGGTGTGCCTCGGCCCGCTCATGTGGGAGCCGTCGCTGCTGCTGTCCTCCTGCCCTCCCGGCAGCCATCATGTTGGCGCTCAACTCCCGCCTGCTGGACTGGTTTCGCGCACTCTTCTGGAAAGAGGAGATGGAGCCGATGCTGGTGGGGCTGCAGTACTCGGGCAAAACCACCCTCGTCCGTCAATGTCATCGCGTCAGGTCAGTTCAGCAAAGATATGGTACCCACAGTGGGCTTTAACATGAAGAAAGTAACTAAAAGTAACATCACAATAAAGATTTGGGACATAGGAGGACAATCCCGATTCCGGAGCATGTGGGAACGGTAATGCAGAGGAGTCAATGCCATTGTTTATAGGACAGATGCGGCGGATCGTGAAAAGATAGAAGCCTCTCAAAATGAACTACATAATCTTCTAGATAAACCACAATTACAAGGAATTCCAGTGCTAGTACTTGGAAAACAAGAGAGATCTTCCTAATGCCTTGGATGAGAAACAGCTAACTGAAAAAATGAACCTGTCTGCTATTCAGGATAGAGAAATTTGCTGCTATTCAATTTCTTGCAAAGAAAAGGATAATACAGATTCACACTTCAGTGGCTTATTCAACACTCAAAATCTAGAAGAAGCTGAAGCATCTCCTGAAGTCTTCCGGTCCTTCCTGGCTATAATCCTGGAATTACTGTCCATTCCTCTGAAGTACTTCCCAGAATACCGTCCTTCGAAACCCAAGAAATTGTCTTTTCCAGAGTTTATTTCTCTTGTGCACTGCTGAAGGTGTGTATCCCTACTCTCTCATAAAGAATCAGCTAGAGTTGTCATGATAAAGTCAGCACACACAGAAAAGCTTCTTATACATACTTGTCTCAAACAGTGCGTAGAGCCTTTTTAAAAACAAAACAAAACAAAAAACACACAAAACACTTGACCATCTTAAATCAAGAAAATGGCATATTTCTGCTCTGGTCTTCCCAGGCCAGACTTTCATACTGGTTTTCAGTAAATGTCTATGGTATTTCATTGTAGAATCCATTCGCTTAATACTAATACTGACTTGATACAACAGGACGTTTCTAGTGCCACACGGTATTTAGGAAACCTTCAGCTTGACTCATGGGATATAAACATAATGTTTACATATCTCACAAACGCATGTGAAATGTATAACTACACCTTAGGAATTTTAAAAAATGGTCAGCAAGGAGTGAGCTGAGGCACCAGATCAGTGTTGTTATGGTTTTTTACACTGGTGAGATTGTATATGAATTTTTAAAACATCTGCTTTCTGAGAATTCTTCATCACAGATAGCAGTTGGGGATATGAGAGGAACTAAGGCATGCTGTTGTATATCTGTCCAGATCATTAATTCTCTATTTTGTCTTCTTTTTCTTTTTCTCTTTTTCGGGGTTGGGGGGGCACGGAGCTCAACACACTTTTTTAAAGGGTTGGGAATTGAAGATTTTCTCAAAGGCTTTCATGGATTTAGAGCATTCCAACCAATGTAATAAAATGTGTTAAGAATGTCAGACTTTGGGGCGCCTGGGTGGCTCAGTGGGTTAAAGCCTCTGCCTTCAGCTCAGGTCATGATCCCAGGGTCCTGGGATCGAGCCCCGCATCGGGCTCTCTGCTCAGCCGGGAGCCTGTTTCCTCCTCTCTCTCTGCCTGCCTCTCTGCCTACTTGTGATCTCTGTCTGTCAAATAAATAAATAAATAAATAAATAAAAAAGAAAGAAAAAAAGAATGTCAGACTTTGTTCAAACACCTGTTTGTTCCTTTTACCTCTAGTCATTAAATCACTGCTGCTTCATGACACTCTAACTCTCGACTTTTTATATCCAGCCTGCTTCCCTTTCTCTCTGCCTGCTTGTGATCTCTGTCAAATAAATAAATAAAATCTTAAAAAAAAAAAAAGAAAAGAAAAGAAAAAAGAAAACAGCTCCATGTACAACAGCATCAAAAAATAAAATTCTTTGGCGGTGGGGGGGGGGGGGACGCCTGGGTGGCTCAGTGGGTTAAGCCTCTGCCTTCGGCCTAGGTCATAATCTCAGGGTCCTGGGATGGATCCCTGCATCAGGCTCCCTGCTCAGCAGGAAGCCTGCTTCTCCCCTCTCTCTCTGCCTGCTGTTCTGCCTACTTGTAATCTGTCTCTCTGTGTGTCAAATAAATAAATAAAATCTTGAAATAAAATAAAATTCTTTGGAATAAATTTAATGAAAAAAGCACAGAACATACACTGAAAACTACAAAATGTAGTTTTCTACATTTACTGAAAGTAAAGATTTCAAGTATTTGAAGATCTAGTATTCATGGATCATGAGACTTAATATTAAGATGGTAATGCTCCACAGGGACACCTGGGTGGGTCATTTAAGCATCCAACTCTTGATTTCGGCTCAGGACACGATTTCAGGGTTCTGAGATCTGAGCCCCTCATCAGTCTCCTGGTTCAGCAAGGAATCTGCTCCCCACCCCCACTCATGCTCTCTAATAAATAAATAAATCTTAAAAAAAAAAAAAAAAAAAAGAAGATGGTAATGACCTCCAAAATGATCTATAAATTCAATGTAATCTCTATCAAAATCCAACCCAGTTTTGCGGAAATTGACAAGCTGATCTTAAATTTGATATGAAAATACAAGAAGCCCAGGATAACCCAAAGGATCTTGAAAAAGAACAAAGATGGAAGACTCACAATTACCAATTTCAAAACTTACTATGAAACTACAGTAACAAAGAGTGTAGTACTGCTTCTACATTAAGTATGGGTATATAGATCAATGGAAAAGAAAAGAGGGTCCGCAAATAAACCCTCACATTTATAGTCAATTTCTTTTTTCTTTTTTTTTTAAGATTTTTTAATTTATTTGACAGACAGAGATCACAAGTAGGCAGAGAGGCAGGCAGAGAGAGACAGGGGGAAGCAGGCTCCCTGATGAGCAGAGAGCCCGACGTGGGGCTTGATCCCAGGACTCTGGGATCATGACCTGAGCAGAAGGCAGAGGCTTTATTTAACCCACTGAGCCACCCAGGTGCCCCAGTCAATTGCTTTTTGACCAGGATACAAAGACAAAACTTGAAAAGAAAGAACAGTCTTTTCAACAAATGGTGCTATGACAGCTGGAGAGTCACATGCAAAAGAATAAAGTTGGGCCCACACTTCACATCATAAATGGCCCAGAGACTTAACTGTAAGAGCCCAAACTATAACACTCCTGAAAGAAAATACAGGCACAGATTTTCATGACTTTGAACAAGGCAATGGATTCTCAGATATGGCACCAAAACCATTAGAAGAAAAAAAATAAATTGGAGTTCATCAAAATTTAAACCTTTTGTGCTTCAAAGGGCACTATTAAGAAAGTGAAAAGACAAGCCACAGACTGAGAGAAAATCTCCGCAAAACATATATCTGATATAGGACTAGCATCCAAAATATACAAAGAACTCATAAAACTCATCAATCAAAAAAAACAAACACCTCAATTAAAAAGTGGGCAAGGGATCTGAACAGATAGCTCACCAAGGAAGATAAACAGATGGCAAATAAGCATGATGAAAAGATACTCAACATCATGTCTTTAGAAAACTACAAATTAAAACGAGGTATCACTATCTACCTATTAGAATGACAGACATCCGAAACAATGACAGCACCAAATGCTGTGAAGGATGTGGAGCAATGGGGATTCTCATTCCCATTGGTGAGGGTGAGGATGCTGGTGAGGATGCAGCATGGTACAGCCACATCTGAAGACAGTTTGTCAGCTTTTTACAAAGTTAAACACAATCTTACCATATGATGCAACAATCACATTCCTCAGTATTTACCCAAAGGGGCTGAAAATAGGTCCACACAGAAACCTGCACTCAAATGTTTGTAGCAGCTTTATCATAACTGCCAATACCAGAAGCAATCACTATGTCCTTCAGTAGGTAAATGGATAACCAAACTGTGGTATTTCCAAATGATGGATCACTCAGCAATAAAAAGAAAAGAGCTTTCAGGCCATCAAAAGATACTGAAGATTCTTAAAAGTACACTCTCTTGGGGGCACCTGGGTGGCTCCACTGGTTAAATGTCTGACTTCGGCTCAGATCATGGTCTCAGGGCCCTGAGAATCCCTGCTCTGCAGGGAGTCTGCTTGTCTCTCTCCCTCTGCCCCTCCCCTGGCTTGTGCTCTAATTAATTAATTAATTAATTCTTTAAAAACAAACAAAAAACCACTATTTTGTGAAAAAGCCAACTTGAAAAAGCTGTACACTGTAGAACTTCAACTACATGACATTCTGGACAGGTGGTGATGCTACGGAGACATTAAACAGATCAGTGGCTGCCAGAAGTTTAGGGGAAGGAACAGGTGAAGCACTAGAGATTTTTAGGTCAGTAAATGATAGATGCCTGTGATTATATAAGCCAAAACCCATAAAATGTCTGAAGCAAAGGCTGGACACTAATGTAAACTATGGCCTTTTAGTCAATAATAACATATCAGTACTGGTTCTACAATTGTAACTAATGTACCACAGTGAAACAGGAGGTAAGTGGTAGGGGAAACTAGAAGGACAAGGTAGAGAAGAAAGGGTGTGATGGAATTCTTTGTACTTTTCAACTTTCCTATAAACTTACAACTACTGGAAAGAAACTAAATCTATTAATTTAAAAAGACATGGAAGAACCTCAAATGCATACTGCTGAGTGAAATAAGCCAGTCTGAAAGGGCTACATATAGTAATGATTCCAATTCTATGACATTCTGGAAAAGGCAAAACTAAGGAGGTGATAGTTAGACCAACAGTTGTCAGAGGCAAAGGGTGAACTGGGGAGGAGGGATGAACAGATTGAGACAGGGATTTTTAGGGTAATTGAAAATTGTTCTGTAGGATACTGTACCAATAGGTATATGTTATGCATTTGGTCAAACCCAAAGAACTGTACAACATTAAGAATGAGCTTTAGTTAATAATGACAGACTTTAGTTAATAGTAGACTTTAGTTAGTAATAATAACAGACTTTAGTTAGTCACTGTATCCACACTGGGTTCATGGGGCACCTGGGTGACTCAGTTGGTTAAGCATCTGCCTTTGGCTCAGGTCATGATCTCAGGGTCCTGGAATCAAGCCCCATGTCCGGCTCCCTGCTCAGCAGGTAGTCCGCTTCTCCCTCTGCCCCACCCCCTGCTTGTGCTTGCATGCTCTCTCTCAAATAAATAATCCTTAAAAAAAATATTGGGTTTATCAACTGTAACAAACATACCACACCAAGGTCTTATTAATGGGGGAAACTGTGGAGGTGGGGAAAGGAAGTACATGGGAACTTTGTATTTTCTGTTTTCTTCTGTAAATCTTAAACTACTCTAGAAATAAAGCGCATTAATTAAAAAGAAAAAAATAGGCTTCACTAAAATCAGCATAGGTTGGCAGGGTACTGCAGAAGCGAAGACATGGTAATATAGTTAAGGCCCTAATGTGCCAAGGCAGCACATGCACAAAGTCCACCATAATGGTCAGCAGAGAAAGGGTCCTGAAAAGGAAGGAAGAATAAGAGCTGCTCTTCTTTTAAAATTAAGAGAATCTGCAATCAGGAAGGCATGGTGCCAACTACCTAGATGTCTCTAATTATTACTAGTTTTTTTTTCCCACAGATCTACCCATTGTTGGCTTTATAAGGACAGATTTTAAGGCTAACCCAGTTAGTTTTGGATAATCAATAAATTCAGAGACATGCCCAGCAGCAAAAACAGAATATAAAAGCTTTATAGGAAGAAATAAATAATGGACAACTTGCTAAAAAAGGGTGCAGAATGTGCACAACTGGTTTACTTGATATGATGATTAAATGTAAGGATGAATCCAATTTGTGATGATCCAATCTATACCCTCTCATCTAATGGTTTACTGAGTAAAGAAACGTTAAGGGCTAATAGTTCCCTTCAGGGTGGTGTCAGCTTATCAAATGCACAATAAATTATACTTACTTGGTTCCATTTGCTTTTATTCTCTGAGCTAATTTTTAGTTTCTAACACTCTGATGGAGTATAACCAAACCTCAACAACTTTTAATGGTTATTTGTTCAATGACCAGACTAATAGGTTCTGAAGATATCCCTAGAGCCTGTCTTAACAACTCTCTAGTGCTTGAGTTTAACCACAATACATAAGGAGTAACTGATATTTACATATCACAATAAACAATGGGATATTAACATAACAAAGGGAGGCTTCAGAAAGTCATTCATTGTAATCATGAGCTGGATAAAAAAATATTTGCAGCAGAAAGATAATATATATAATCAATGCTTGAACATTCAACAAATAAGGTCCTTAATATCTTCCGTCCCTGTTCAAATTAATAATTCAAGAAGTCTGGAGAAAAAACAAGCCCAGTTCCTAAATGAGACATGTTCTAATGTGAATGTCAGGAAAACAAAAATAAAAACTCTTGATTAGTGTTTAAACTCACCCTCCATGCATTCATTCACAGATTCATAGTCAGCGTAAGTTCTGCCTTCTGGCCTCTTGGTAGGCTGTACCAGCAAAATGGTGTGAGACTGCAGGGGGAAAAGTGATTTCAACATAAATTTCCAACTCATATTTGAGAAATTCATAGTATGATGTAAAATCCTCAGCCATGACACAATGACCATTGGTTATTAAAACATTATTAATTAGGGTGCTCGTCCTACATTTATGCCTTTGTGCAAGTGTGGTGTCAGAAGGTGGACTGCCAGCTTCTCCCTAAGGTCTCTTCTCTGTAAGGTCTCCAAGTCCTTAAGGGCTGCTTTCTCCAACTGCTGGACCTACTGCATGTAAGCATTCAGCATAAACTACGTTGTACTGTTTTTTTCTTTCCTATCATTCTCCCCAGCCAGATCATAAACGCACTTAGTTTTCTATCTCTACTGGTCACTTTCTATCTCTAGCCTTATTAAGTCTCTTAATAAAAACTCAGATGGGGGTGCCTGGGTGGCTCAGTGGGTTAAAGCCTCTGCCTTAGGCTCAGGTCATGATCCCAGGGTCCTGGGATTGAGCCCCGCATTGGGCTCTCTGCTTGGCGGGGAGCCTGCTTCCTCCCCTCTCTCTCCGCCTGCCTCTCTGCCTACTTATGATCTCTCTCTGTCAAATAAATTAATAAAATCTTAAAAAAAAATAAAAAATAAAAACTCAGTTGGAAGCTGATAAAAGTAGAAAAGGAGAAACACTATTATGACTGTAAGCACTGGATCTGATTTATGTTTTTTCCAACCTTGGCACAACAGTGGAGTCACCTCTTAGCCAGGACTTAGACTCCAGCGTGAAGGCAGAAGATAAATGGGCAGTATAAAATTAATAGAGTTAACATTACCCTAGAAAAACCATTAAACTATTCACCCAGTAGATGACTCACCTTAGAGTCTCAAAACCACATTAAAAAAAAAAAAAGATTTTATTCATTTATTTGACAGAGAGCACAGCAGTGTTGAGCAGCAGGCAGAGGGAGAGGAAGAAGCAGGCCCACCGAGCAGGGAGCCCAACATGGGGCTCAATCCCAGGGGATCGTGACCTGAGCCGAAGGCAGAGGCTTTAACCCGATAAGCCACGCAGGTGCCCCAAATCACAAATTTTAAACACTAGAATCCCACAAAATAGATGACCACACTGTGATAACTGTGAATATGCCTCCAACAGCAGACAGACTTAACATCTTCCACCTCATCCTGCTCAGTGGGGGACACATTTTTGTTAGTGGGTCTATTTCACAGTTTCTCAATCTCTGCACTTAATACAATCTGGGCTTGAAGGGCTCCCCTTACAGAGGCAGAGTCCGGTGCATTGCAGGATGTTTAGAAGCATCCCTGGCTCATTCCCACTAAATACCGTAGCACTTGAACCCCCTGCTCCTTCCTGCACAAGACTGTGACAACCAAAAATGTCTCCAACTACCGGTCTATTGAAATTATGGCCCCTTCCAATCTTTTGCCAAGTGTGTAAGGTCAATTAATTAAATCCAAGTATGATGCAACCTCACTGTAAACACAATCCTCCAACTATTCATATTTTTCTCTTTTACTTTTTGGGGTCCCAAAAATCCTTTATGGCAGGTCCCCCAAGCTGTTCTGAAGTGATAAGCATTTTTAAGCATCAAGATATTGGAACTGAATAGTTGAGGCCTAGAGTTTCTGAATAAGCATCAAAAAAACCCAGTACTCTGAACACTATATAAAAAGCAAATAAATTGTTCATATTCCTCCCTCCCGATCAAGAACCAACTCACTCTGATGAAAACCTTTTTTCCCCCCAAAGATTTTATTTATTTATTTGACAGAGAGAAAGTGACAGCGAGAGGGAAGAGGGAGAAGCAGGCTTCCCGAGGAGCAGAGAACCCAATGTAGGGCTCAGTCCCAGGACGGGGGGATCATGACCTGAGCTGAAGGCAGACGCTTAACGACTGAGCCACCAGGCGCCCCTGATGAAAAGTATGAGAGGTTGTGAGATAAAAATAGACGTTGGTGACAAGAGATGAAGGGTAATTTTCACCTATAATGACCTGAGCAGTCAAGGCCTTTGTTAAACAGGCATTATAAACCACAGAAAGCCTTTTATTAGATTGTTACACAGCATTTTTTCTAAGTCACGTACTCAAAAAACAGTAGTTATGATGGGGGTCACATGTTGAGAAGAAAATAATTTTACAGAAACCACACTAGCATTCCAGCAGTATGGCTCTCGCTCTGTACATTAGCCACACCCGTTGCTACTATATTAATTTTGTTCTCATTCTAATGCAAATTGAGGGACTAATTTACTTAAAAGAGTAAAGATATGGAAATGGCTATTCACTACGCTAATTTTTACATCTAGTCTTAAAATGAACCTCTGACAAAGCTCAGTATTATCAATACTTACTACGCAAAGACGAGGATTAAAAACTAAGAACAAAAAAAATGACTAAATTTACAAATCTGTAACCAAAACGAGGATTATTTTTAAGTGGCAGTGCTTTCTTATTAACATTTTAAGATCATAAAACTTCCCAAATCAGTTTTGATCACCTTCTTCTTTCTGGAGCTATTTTCGAAGCCATTTGGTTTTATTAAAAAACAAATACATATGCACAATATAAGTACATACAAGCATATACATAGGTATTTAAATTTCTCACAATAGAAAAATAAAATTGCAAAACCTAAATCAGGAAGAGGTATACAGAATTACCTTAGCAAAATCCTTATTCTCTCTGATTACCAGGCACAAGTGAATTACTTTAACGAATAATCTTGCGTTACTAACTTTTTAAAAGTCTCACACACATGAACTCTAAGAATCATTCTACTGCTACAAAACAATATAGACGATTTGCCCATAGCTTCAAATGCTTCTCCCAAACTACCAAAACAAAACAAAAACAATAAAAACCAAAAAACTCCTGCACCTAAAGTTTTTATTTTTAAGAAAGCCAAAGGTATTTAAGACCATTGAACCAGGGGTGCCTGGGTGACTCAGTGGGTTAACTCCTCTGCCTTGGGCTTGGGTCATGGTCTCCGGGTCCTGGGATGGAGCCCCACGTCGGGCTCTCTGCTCAGCAGGGAGCCTGCTTCCCCCCTCTCTCTGCCTACTTGTGATCTGTCTGTCAAATAAATAAATAAAATCTTAAAAAAAAAAAAGATCATTGAACCAATAATTATTTGTTTTATACACAAATTCTAATTTTTAATGCTACTTGGATTGAGAAGGAATTATCACTGATATTTGCCCAATAAGAATGGGTTATTAATTGCAGTCACTTCCTGAGATTTTAAGCATCAAAACACAATACCAAATAGTGACATAAAAGGCAGGGAAAGAAGGAAACTCAGATGAAAACACTTGTCCAAGGTCACATTGTTAGTTACCACAAAAGAAGAACTGGAAACCCAGTCTCTTAACTCCTGGTGGTTCTCTGGGAAACCATGCTTGATCAAACACTGAAACGTCTCAACTCAGAAAAGTACAACCTCAAAAAGTTCCGTGCGAACAACAGCTGTGTAACTTGTTAACAGTAACTGCAGCAATCAGAAAACGAAAGCTGAAGTGTGGAAGTAGCCATGATTCCTCATGATCCCTGTGGACCATCTCCTTTTTGGTGAAATATAATAAAAAATGCAAACAAAATACCCACTCACTCCACTACCACCCCGATCAGATCTGAAGGAACCTGGAACCCTCAGCTAAGCCTATCTTTTCCGCTTTCAGTCCCAAGAGAATGAGTACGAACAAGACTGAGGGCTGGGAGAAAGGCCAGATCAGGCAACTGGGGTCTTGAAAAAGAGAAAAACACGTTACGTGTATATTTAAAGGCAGAGCACAGAAAAGCAAAAGAGAGGAGTTGAGAAAGCACACACAAAGCAAAGACGATCCCTCCCGGCCCACACGCTGGGTGTAGTACACTCAATCTGTCAGCTCTGGGGACAGGTTTGTCAGACATCCCTCGGCCATTGTTCCCACACTGGGCCAGGGAGTATGGAGGGAAAGAGCAGCATCCCCACGCCTGCCTCTACCAAGGAGCAACTGGGACAAAGCGCATCCTCCACACCGCACGGCTCGCCGGAGCCCGCAGGCGGGCGCGCAAACGCAGGGCGGACCCGGGCTCCGGGGCCTAGTGCCAGGCCAAGCGTGTCCGCCGCGGGAAGGGGAAGGGTCCAGTCACAAACTGGTGGGCCAGGGAGCTGCACGCTCAACCTGGATGGGGTGGGGAAAAGATGTATAGGGTTGGGATCTCCCCAAAGGCCGGGGAATCGGGGAGCCGCTGAGGCCTTTCTCACCATCGCGCCAAACTCTCTCGCTGCAGCCGCTGCCGACACCGCCGCCGCACACGAGCTTAGCCGCAACGCCGCCAACAGCCAATCCCCGCGAGAGGAGCCGCCGGAAGTCGTCAGAAACGCACCGCGAAAGAGCCTTTTGGACCATAGAGGCGCATACATTTCCGGCAGCTAGAGCGGATACTGACTCTGTCTCAGCCATCTTGGATAAGGGCGATGAGCTACACAGGGAATTACTGCGCAACTTGAAAAAAATATCATTTCTTGTGAAGACACAGTCTATCATACTCTCGTTATCAGAAATACGGCTAAACAGAGCTATGGACTCTGACACCAAACATCTTGCATTAGCCCTACTCAAAAATGGCGGTAGCAAAAGAATCCTGGGCCATAGGTCGGTTGTAACCCGGAAGTACTCTTCTAAAGGAGGGGGGCGGGGAAGCAATCCGGAAGTCGATGTAATGAAGAGGTGCCACTTGGCGGCCATGGCAGCTGTAGTATCCGTGGCTTTGGGTCAAGGCCCGGCGGAATGGAGTAATATGGGCAGCATCGGATATAGGGCAGAGACAGCTTTGTATCAGCTTCGCTGCTGAACCCCTGAGCCCATCGTTAGAGAGCTGCAGGACTCTTTCCTATTTTAGACTCGGAGGAGAGTTTCCCGGGACTGGTGGGCTGGTCCCAGCCTAAGGGGGACTGCCCCAGGGACGTAGGGGCACAGGGAGAAAGAACAAGTTTGCTTGGATTTTCCTCCTTTTCCACCTGGGACGTTGTCTGTGGAGGGAGTGGACTGATTTTTCCACCATCCCGCGACTGAAGAAATCTCCCGCATACCTTTAACTGCTAACCGTAGGGAATCCAATGACTGGCCTCTGAAAACGCAGGGGCTGGCACCTGAGATTGCTGAAAGTTCTCTCTGGTGCTAAGATCAGCAAAAGGGGGCTATTTCCAGGTGCGTTCCAGAGAAAGGGGTTTCGTGAACACATCTGCTGGTGGGGAGGACAAAGAACTGGCAAGTCCACTTGTTCTCTTGGAATCACCACACGCGTTTAAGGACCTCCGGACCCTTTGAAGCCACTGAAAATTTGTAGTCTGGTGGCTGTGGGTAAATAAAGGAGGACAGAATGGATGATTTCATCTCCATTAGTCTGCTGTCTCTGGCTATGTTGGTGGGATGTTACGTGGCTGGAATCGTTCCCTTGGCTGTTAATTTCTCTGAGGTAAGAAATTCTCAAATTTCTTTTTTTTTTAATATTTTATTTATTTATTTGACAGAGATCACAAGTAGGCAGAGGGGCAGGCAGAGAGAGGAGGAAGCAGGCTCCCCGAGGAGCAGAGAGCCCGATGTGGGGCTCTATCCCAGGACTCCAGGATCATGACCTGAGCCGAAGGCAGAGGCTTCAACCCGCTGAGCAACCCAGGCGCCCCAAAATTCTCATTTCTGTCAGCTGTTAGGATGGCTGTTGGGAAGTAGTGACGGTTGTAAAGGGAAAATGCTTTCTCAATATCAGAGCTGAAAGTCTTGCTAAGGAAGGCTATCTTTAAAAGATGCATAGCTTTTCATAATAGAAACTAATCTCATTTTAAGCTCTAGAGTCCTTAACGTGGAGTGGGTGAATCCACTGACGATCCTGGGGTACTATGAACCTTGTGAAATTGCATACAAAAATTTAGGGCTCTGTGCGTTTTCCTGGAAAGAGGTACCATAACATTCTTTTGATTCCCAGAGGTTCCAAGGAATCGAAGTTCTGGATTGCTATCAAGAAACATAAATGGAGAATATTATTTGTCCATATGCGTAGAAATGAGTATAGCTCCTCTTTTTGAGAAAATGAAGCATAGTTTTTGGGGGGAAAGGTAGTTTTTTGGATTAGAATCCAAAAAAGCTTTCTGGTGATTTGAATTTTTTTTTTTAAAGATTTTATTTATTTGACAGATCACAAGTAGGCAGAGAGAGAGAGAGAGAGAGGAGGAATCAGGCTCCCCACTGAGCAGAGAGCCCGATGTGGGACTCGATCCCAGGACCCTGAGATCATGACCTGAGCTAAAGGCAGAGGCTTTAACCCACTGAGCCACCCAGGTGCCCCTGGTGATTTGAATTTTTTGTATTAGAATAAAGATAAGAAAAAAGCTAAATTAGATTGCTCCTAACTCACATTTCCTTTTAAGGAAGCATTGGAATGCATATTTGAAGTTGTTTCAAATCTTTGCTTAGAAATGAATTTTGTGTGAATGTGTTTTGACATTTGGGTCAATTTGTTCATTTGTCATTACTTGAACAAACAATGAACAGACATTAACTAGTGCAGAGAAAAGATGAAAGCAGTGAAAATGCAGATAAGTTCTTCATAAAGACTTCGTAGCATGCACAGTGCTTAAAAGATTTAGGGAGAAAAACTACTACATTTGGAGGGAACAGGATTTCATGAGTATCTTAGGGTTCTGCAGAAAAATAGGCCCAGTTTCACCACCATGAAAGAGCTTCATGAAAGAGCAAACTGGTAGTCCTACCTAAACAAGCCCACAGGCTTATTTTGTTAGAGTAAGTGGCAGAATATTCATTTTTATTATTGTTACTGATTTTTGTCTGCATTTTCTCAAGACAACAGTTGGCTAGAGCTGAGGTAGCAGTAGATTGTCACAGTCCTCCTTGGATGTTGAAGCCTACTTCACTTATTTCGGCCACCTATCCAGTACTTTGTGAGCCTGCTTTATTTGGACATGAACTGTATTTTCTTATAACTGCATTAAAATTTAATTGACCTTATTGGGGCTGACATTTGTGAGATTTAAGTTGGTTTGTATATTTAAAAACTGATTGAGGTAACTTTGATCACAAATTATAACTGATTCAAATTAGAAATCAACAAACATTTTATTTCTATAAAATGCTTAGAACTTTTCCAATTTCAGTGTTTTCTTGAACTATCTTGAGTGATTTTTGCAATATGGAGGTATCTGCTATATTCTTTTTCACTGAGAACAAAGCTAAACTTGTTAAGGAGGCCAAATATACATGCGTGGTATAATTAACCAAGGCATTAATAAAGATAATCAGTATGACATGTCATTTATGGCTGTCTGAATTGATGGTCAAGTGATCTTTTCTATCTGTAGGCCTTAAAATGCTATAAATCACATTCAAAATATCTGTTTATTATAACAGCAGGAACAGTGCATTTTGAGCTCTTAGAATAAAAATGGAAGTTATATATAACGTAGACATCAACTTAGAATTCAACCAATGTTTTCTTTCTTCTGGTAATTAAACATTTTTTCTAGCTAGATTATACTATTATTAATTGATGTAACATAAAACTAGTGAGATGATTTTGTAAAAAGTAAACTTCATTCATGGGGGCTGCTGGGAAGCACAGTTTCTGCCTTTAGAACAGTTTCTACCCCAAGCTCCTCCATTGGCTAAACTACTTAACTTTTTAAGGAAATCTGGCTTTTCTTAGGGACTAGTGTTATTATAAATAAAGAGACCAATCTAATTTATTTTGCAGTTCACTTTCATGTATATGAAAAGATATGCTATTTATTCATGTTCTTAATCTAGCTGCTGTTTTGTCACTCAATACTTTTTTCCCTCAGAATTTCCCAGAGGCAGGAATAAGAGTTCAAAAAACCATTAATTATGGCAGGATTAGTATTTAGAAATCAGTTAAAATTAAGTGACCCAAAAATTGCTGTAGCAGTTGGTGCCTACCTGCTATACCTGACCCTCAAGAGGTTTACGTGACATTGGTCTCTCAGTGACTTTCTTCAACGTTCCTTGTCCCCAAATCAACTTTCTTGATGCTTTTGTAACTTCTTCCTTGCTTTTTGACCTAGTGACTTTGCCTTTATGCCTAAATGATTTCTTTCTTTTTTTTTTTTTTTTTAAAGATTTTATTTATTTATTTGACACACAGAGATCACAAGCAGGCGGAGAGGCAGGCAGAGAGTGAGAGTGGGAAGCAGGCTCCCTGCAGAGCAGAGAGCCCGATGTGGGGCTCGATCCCAGGACCCTGAGATCATGACCTGAGCTGAAGGCAGAGGCCCAACCCACTGAGCCACCCAGGCGCCCCTGCCTAAATGATTTCTGAAACAAAGAAAAGAAATCTCTGATTCTTGAAAGCACTTATGAGTAACTGATAATCAAGATGCTCTCTTCTTCAGTCTATGGGAAGGAGGAAAACTGAACTTGTAAAGGAGGTCAAAGCATACCTCACACCAAGGAAGTCCCGTGTGGTAAAGGAGTTGGAACCACTAGCTTAGCATTATCTTACAATGTTAGATTCAGTTAGTAATGAGCAGTTGTCTTTGACTCTAAAGGAAAAAGCTACCTAAGTAGGTTGAGAGCCTACAACTTAACATTACCTAGAATTAACCCCACTTAGCAGGAACTCTGATTAATGAATGAAGTTAAAATGTAAACCGTGACCAAAGTGGTTGTAGATTGATTATCTGAGGATTGTTACTTACATGGGCATATCTCCTCTTTGCCACAGAGCTGGTAACAGAGAGCAAGCTGTTTGCGCCAGAGATCTAGGGCAGTGTTCCTCCAACTATCTGGTAAATGACTAGCTCTTGTTTTTGTTTAATTTCCATTCCATTGCAGACCAATATATTTATAAAAATTAAATACTAAGAAAATGAAGTGAAAAAATACAAAATATAAACTCAAATGTAGTGTTATTATTTTTTAAGATTTTATTTATTTATTTGACAGAGATAACAATTAGGCAGGGAGGCAGGTGTGGAGGTGGGGGTGAGGTAGCAGGCTCCCTGCTGAGCAGAGAGCTCAGTGTGGGTCTCAGTCCCAGGATCCCGAGATCATGACCTGAGGCTAAGGCAGAGGCTTAACCCATTGATCCACCAGGTACCCGTGTTATTATATTACTAGACATACTCTTATATGTCTGTTACTCCTCTAATTGTAATATTCATATTCTATGAAATTTTTTGAAGACTTTGTCTCAGTTTCATACTTTCCTTGTTGCAGACCAGTTTGGATTATAATGCCACATTCTTCATGTGTTAAAATAGTATGGACCCATAGGTATGCAGATGAAAGTAGTGCTGCTCTTACTTCAATAAAGAATTCAAGATACTAGTAATGCACGAATCTTCCAGGAACTGTCTGGGACAGGTAGTGTAGTTCAAAATCAGTGTCGCTATTTGAGCAAGCTATTTAACATCAAAATCTCTTCTTTTAAATAACCTTATAGGATTGTTGTGAGGATGTAATGAATTAATATGCATGCAAGACTATATTCTAGAATGTAATAAGAACTTTAGAAAATCTTGAGGATTATTCTCCTTACTAATTATGAAAACTTTAAGATTTTCATTTTTAGAACTTTGTTCAAAATTATAATTTTTAAGCCTCTATTTTGGAACAGACTTCTAATAATGGGTAAACTCCTCCATTTCCCTCTCCAGTTACTAGAAACTTCTCAACAGGTTGGGATCTGAAAGGTCTTGTTTGGCAGTTGGCATTCCTTTTCGCCATGAATGTTCCATTTTGAGAGACCAAGCCTTCTCCTCTAGTCTCCCTGCCTTATAGTATTTTTATTTGTATTTACCTTTCTTTTCTTCATTTATTTTCATTTTAAGCCTTGTTTTGTTTTTCATGTGTTAAAAAGTTTTGTTTTGTGTCTAACCATGATAACTGACTCATTCAGTAATAGATATCTTTAAGGCTTTGAGTTACCAACAAATCAGACAATTGTGTCTGAAGAACAGATTTGTTCAGTTAGTACCCTCTTTTCTGACAATTGGTTCTTTTTGAAATAAATGTGATAAAGTTGCATTTTTCAGGGCTTTTGCATTGGATGTTAAAGTTTTATTCTCTTCAGGTAGTGTAACAGATATTAATGTTGTGCCTGTTGGGAATTTCATTTCTAAATTCAAGCATTTTACACTTTGCATTCTAATTTACCCATGTCTGGAAAGCAATCAGTAATTTTGCCTTTCCTCAGATTATTTTTTTTTTAAGATTTTATTTATTTTATATAGAGAGACACAGTGAGAGATGGAACACAAGCAGGGGGAGTGGGAGAGGGAGAAGCAGGCTTCCTGCTGAGCAAGAAGCCCCATGTGGGGCTCCATCCCAGGACCCTGGGATCATGACCTGACCCGAAGGCAGACGCTTAATGACTGAGCCACCCAGGCACCCCAGATTGTTGTTTTATAAGGTTATTGTTTCAATAAGTATCTTTGCTAGATAAAA